CTATCTATCTATCTATCTATCTATCTATCTATCTATCTATCTATCTATCTATCTATCTATCTGTTAAGTCCTGGGAATAATGGCGCTTGAGACGATTCATCTCCAACAAGTCTTTATTGTTTGCTCCACTCTCGAACAACCAGAGCAGAGGCACGCAGGCCTCTATTTATACCCTCTGATCCCCGGGCAAATTCAACCAATCATGAGGCGGGCTTTTCCCGCCTTGCGCATGCGCGCAAGGCCGGCGCCGCTCAGTCTGGTCCCGGGCAGCTTCTGCAAATGCCCGGGACTCTTGCAACGTCCCGAGCCTGCATCTTGCAGGCTCAGGACACAACACTATCTATCTATCTACCATCTTTCTTCCATCCATTCCTCCATTCCTCCATTCATTCCTTTACCCATTCCTCCATCCATCCATCCATCATGCCCCATTCTCACGTTTTTCCCTCCCTCCCTTTTGTGCCCTGCCAGCCAGGACCAGCGACTCCACCCGGCCCTTAACGGCATCCCATTTGCCTCCCTTCCTCTCTCCTAGATCTCGCTATGCTGAGTTCCAGGTCAACTGCCAGCCCTCTGGACTCCTCTCAGGAACCGGATGCCAGAAGGAAAACTACGCCGCCTGTTTATTGGCCTACACTGGCATCATAGGTAGGGGGGGGCTGTCTTTATTTTAACGCTATCGAGAACGGCGGGGAGATTTTGCATTTATTTAGTTATTTAATGCGTCGGTTTAATTGCTCATGGCACAAACATCTGTTCTGGAAGTCACCGGTCTCTTGGCAGGCCGCTCCTCCGATGCCCAGCAAAAGCCTCCAGCAGGAATGTGGGTGAAGTGGGCAAAATGGCGGATGCAGATCACGATGCATCCGCCATCTTGCCCATTTGGACAGACCCACCTCTGCGGAGGCCGTTAATCCCAAGAGAAGCCCCCAGGTGGACAATTTGCCTCCCAGGGCTTTATTTTCACTATCTGTCTGGAAAACCTCTCTCTACGCTACAAGTGTAAGGCCACACCTGGAATGCTGCATCCAGTTTTGGTCGCCACAATGTAAAAAAGATGTTGAGACTCTGGAAAGAGTGCAGAGAAGAGCAACAAAGATGATCAGGGGACTGGAGGCTAAAACGTACGAAGAACGGTTGCAGGAATTGGGGATGTCTAGTTTAATGGAAAGGTTGCAGGGGGGGGG